AACAGAAAATGGCTCACTCGCTGTGTAAAACAGTATGGTGGTTCCTCCCCACAAAAAAAGTCAAACACAAAATTACCAGCAGACCTGGCAATTGTACTTCTGGGCATATGCCCCAAGGAAGTCAAAGTAGGAACTCCAACAGGTATTTGTGCCCCCATGTTCACAGCAGCATTATTCACAATTGCCCAAAGGGGTAAGCGACTCCAGTGTCCATCAAGAGATGAGAGGATAAGCAAAAGGTGCCATGTTTATAACGGAATATTCGACTTAGGAGGGAAATCCTGAACAACACCATGAAACTTGAAGACATTATGCTAAGTGAAATAAGCCAGTTATGAAAAGACAAATACTGTATGTGTCCACTTATGTGAGCTCCCCAGAATAGTCAGATTCACTGAAACAGAAAGTGGAGTGCTGGTTGCCAGGGGCTGGGGGCAGGGGGAATGGGGGTTTTTTAACAGGCAGAGTTTCAGTTTTGCAAGATGGAAAGAATGCTGGAGCCCAGAGATGGTAGCAGTGATGTTTGCGCCAACAGTGGAATGCACTTTACTGAACTGCACATTTAAAAATGGTTAGGACGGTAAGTTTTACCGTGACGTGTATTTTAGCACAATGCAACATTTTTACAAAGTCTCTGAGGCCCACTCAGCCCCTCAGATGCATCCCCATCAGCATCAGTCTCCCTGCCCTAAACAGCGTGGTGTCCCCTGGTGGTCTAGTTAAGCACCTTGCTGAGACTTTAAAAGCTCTCCAGAGAAGAAAGACCCGGAGGCTGAGGCTTGCAACTCTTAACAATTCTCTGTGTCAGATTTTTTGCCTTTTAAGTCTTACTTAAATCCTTTTGTTTTGAACTAATTGCCCCTTTTGCTTTAATGCAGACGCAAAGAACAGCTCGTGACCATCCTCTATGGGAAGAGACTTCCAAAGACTTAGATGCCATTGTTACACTACCTTGCCTCTTTGACGATGCAGAGCCACCTGCTTTCAACACCTCCCAGCCTAAAGCAGCAGTCCTAGTCTCTTTGTGGAACTTTGAGAGCTTTGGGCACTCAGCTGTGCTTCCGTCTGTGTGTTTGGCGGGGGGACCGCAAATCATTTCTTAAGGAGAACTTTGGCTCTGCCCATGGCATTCTCATGGCAGGTCTCTAAAGGAGGCAGGTAGCCTTCCACTGAGGCTTGTGCCCTTATCAGGTTCCTGGGAGCTCTCTAAGAAGATGTCAGCACACAGCTCAGATTGGCTGAGGTGCAGGACCTCTGACCCTGCTTGACCGGCTACATGGTACAGATGTACGATAGGCACTTGGCTGGGAATAGGAAAGCCAAGCTCACGGTTACTCACTATGTACCAAAGCCTGCCTAAGAGAAACAAATCTGGAGAGGTCATCTGAAGATGCATCCCTCCCTCTGGGACTGAGCCAAGTCCCCAGGAGTGGTGGGGACAACTTTGTTGTGCCCACCCTTTCTCTGTGCAGTGGTTTTTCTGCACTACGCTTGGCCAGGCACCTTGGCCCACTCTGCGGCTCCATGTAAGAAAGAGGTTTGTGAGGGCCTGGTGCAGTTATTCTAGGGGTACTGCTGAAGGTGGGCTGTTGTGTGTGGGTGTGCTGTCCACTGTGGACACGGGAAGGTGGGGGGCACTGCTCCCAAGACTCAGAACAAGGAGTACTTGTGTGTCTTAAACATGGCGTATTTGTACCTCATGGACTCTAAATCCTATTGCTGATGATTTTATGCTTTGTTTCTCCTGCTAGAGAACTTTAAGTCAAATATGGGGACTACTTCTGGAAGAATGTTGTCCAACAGAACTTTCTGTGATGATGGAAATTTTCTGTATCTGTGCTATCCAATATGGTAGTCACTAGCCACATGTGGCTTAGTAAGACAGAGAAAATGTCTTTTGTATTTAGTAAGACAGAGAAACTGAATTTTGCATTTTAATTAATTCAAATTTTAAATTTAAATGGCCACATGTGGCTAGTGGCTACCCATCAGCTCTAGACTCGATATGGGAAATGTGTGTGTTTTGGATGTCACCTTTGGTTTTTCCGACTTCCCTATCAATATATTCCATCTTCTTCAAGTCCCTTTGCTGTGTAATTATTTTTATTAATCTTGTCAGCTACCTTAAATCTTTTTAAAATGTGAGATCTACTTGTAAATATGAAAAAAATAACATACACACATTCCCAATTTCTTTGACTAGGTACCTCTTCTCCCTTTTGTGCAAAATAGAGTAATTAATATGTTCATTCAAGGGAAGGGCGTCACAGGAGTTGGGGAGAGACCCTTTCTTCTGTTTTTCTGTTCTGTTTTTTCAGCTGGGTGTTGCTTACACAAATGTTCAGTTTGTAAAAATTCATTGAGTTGTTTACTTATATGTACTTTTCCATATATTATTTATACTATTCTTCAATAAACAGTAAAGGGAAACATATAAAGAGAAGGTGTTGTGTCCAAAATACAATGTTAGTTTAGCTCCGGGGGATATGGAAAGATTCACAGAACATGGACCATGACTCCAGAAAGCTGTACTTCAGCATCACTGAGCACTAGTGCAAATGTCTATGATGCATTTTTCCAGAGGGATCTCGGGCAGCTTCTGATGCTAGCAACTCCCCACCCTCATCTTCCCTGCCTTTTCCCCCTGGATCAGGCAGTAGGAAGAAAGGAGGAGGAGGAGTTTCAGGAGGGGGAAGTCTTTCTTTCCCTCTTATCAGATCTTAGTCAGAAACATTCCAAATTCTTATAAAAGGTTGAGTAGCCCCCAGAAAAAAACCCTTTCATCTTTTGTCTTCCAGAGGAATTAAATCAGAGGAAGAGGCTCTGGAATATGGAACATTGATGGGGCAGGATGAGGAAAGAAAACTCAATCTGTATTTTAAGCAAGCCAACTAAAAACTACCCAACCAAGATTTGTGGCAGCATACAACTCCACCCAAGTGAACAAGAGCATTTATATTAAGAGTTATCATTGAAACGATAACTTGGGAAACATGTACTGCTAAGGACAATGTGGATAAAAGGCATTCTCTCAAGGGGTCCCTCTCCATGACGTAAAGATCTTAATTCTGCTAAAGACTGAGACATAAATTTTTATGTAGAAGTAAGTTAAAGAGCCAGGCAGCTGCTTATTTCATGCCAGAACAGAAGGCTGCTCTCTGCAGTGATTCAGTCCCAGTAACCTGTAAATGGCCATCATCAAGAATTATGAGGGGGCCATTAGTCATTTCTGTCCACATTAATTTACCTCCTCGATATATTACTATATTGAACAAAGGCCTGCATTCCTGAGACTGAAGATACAAATCTTTTTTCTTCCTCTTTTCACACTTCGATGCTCAAACTTCAAAAGCCTCCACCTGTACAGATTTTATAATCATTTAAATGTGTGAATCTTCTTTGAAATATCCTTTCAGTGGTTCCCTTTGAGCACGGTCCAGGCCAAGCCTTTATACTTCGTTCTTTCACTTACGCGATTACAGGCATCGAGCAAAAAAGTGTTCTAATTACTGCAAAAAAGGAAGAAGTCCCTTCAAAACAATCACGTTCATTTTGGTCTTTGAGTATAAACAAAACCCTTCCGTTTACTTTTACTTTATCAACTGCACTATATTTTGCATACGGCATTGGCCGCCTTCAAACACTGAAGAATTTTGTTCTCACATTTCAAAAGAGATTACAGAGCAGATGCAAGCTAGCATTCAGTTCACTGAATAATAAAGCGATACTTAGTTTCTTATCTGTATAGTTCAAAGGAAAATCAGAAAATAACTTGAGTCCTATAAACAGTAAACGTCTCAGAGGTGACCTTTCTGACTTGAGCAAAGTGGCCTGGCTGTAGTTTTAAACAGGTTTCTGACATGTGCCAAATTCTCACTTCATTTTATGACATGTGGATTACAGTTCTGATGTTTGATGTCAAAGTCAAGAAAACTAGGAAGCTTTACTTGTGACTTAAGTAATTGCGATCAGCACCTTTCAAGATAATGGCCCCTGATGCACTAACAACTTCTCCTTCCAGGTAGACAAATGGGAAAATGGAGATGCCTGAGCCAGAGGTTTTTCAGAAAAATAAAGTCCTATATGCTTGGAACTGATTTACATGTCAGTTCCAGAAAGCCTGGGTGTAGAAAGCATTTATCAGGCCGGGCCAGGTGTAGGGCATTCTTAAGTCTACGTGCTGCATTTTGAATTCTCGAGTATAGTAATCAATGATCCTAAAAGAGGGTCAAGGAACCACTGGGAGGACAGGAGGAGAAAGGGGTCCAACCACAGAGGAACAGGACAGTCTATAGCATCCATTCCCTTAAGAAGCATTCAATCACCCCTTCCCAAGCTTACTGAAATCAAGAGCTCCAAAGGCATAGGTTACTTCTTCAAATATTTATGAGAAAGTAATTTTTTAAGTGATCACTGGATTTTGACAACCTATTTACTGCCTTGCAGTAGAAGGGTGGATGGGGAGACGGTGGGGAGGCACAAGAGGAGACATCTATCTTCTCTCAATATAGTTTACAGTTTTCAAAGAGCTGGGTTTTCCTGAGGGCCCTTTGGGGAAGTGAAGGATACACTGGTAAAAACTCCCTAAGTGTGAGGGAGTAGATCCAGGAATCTGAAATAACAAGGTCCCGGGGATGTAAGCACATCTGAAATCCCCAGGGGCCACACGAGTGAGCGTTTAGTGGCGGCTCAAACAGCAGGTGAAGAGGCACGCAGAGGAACTGGCAGTTGCTGGCTGAGGCTCACAGCCAAGGCAGCCAAGTGAAAACAACCAAGGCAAAGAGCCTCCTCTTCTGTTTCGGCAGTGTAGGGACACCTTGCCTTTGTCTAAGAGCCACTCAGGGGGCCACCAATCCCTCCTTTTTCCTAACTCATTGCTCTTTACTAGGTACTGGGGTACCGGCGGTTTCTGGCAGTGCCACTTATTTCTCTGTCCTCTCCCCACGCCCCAACAGGCGCAGACACACAGACTGCCCCGGCCCCCAGCCCCGGCCAGGTACCTGCAGAAGGATCTTGTTCCCGTCGAGGTCCTCCGTCTGCCAGCGCCCCTCACTGATGGGGCTGCAGGGTTTGGGCAAGAGAGGCACGAGCTCACCGATGTCCTTGACCCGGAACTCCAGCACCGAGGAGTCGGTGGGGATGGGGGTCTGGTCACAGGGCAGTCTTTTCAGGGAGAACTGGATGTCCACATCCAGATTGGAGAAGATGGGGAAGATGCAGAAGTCCGTCTTCCTCTGGCTGGGGCTGCGCCGGAGGATCAGCTCGTAGAACTTGAGGATGTCCGCGTAGTTGTCATGGCGACAGTAGATGGTGAAGCGCACGATTTCCTTGCCGTAGTGCACCGGCCGGATGGCCCACAGCGGGGTCCCGGGCGCCAGCATGAAGAAGTCCTGGCTGCAGGGCAGGTAGGGCAGGAACCGGCCGGGCACGCGCTCCGTGTGGTGGTGGCGCCAGGGCGGCCGCTGCAGCGCGCGGTGCAGCTGCAGGATCTGCTCCTCGCCGTACTCCTCCTGGAGGAAGAGAACTACCGCCAGCGCTGGCTGCGCCACCTTCCAGGACTTCCGCCGCCGCCGCGACACCCCCCTTTCCGACACCCGGAACAGCTGCAGGTCCGGGTGGATCCAGGCCAGGACCTTGTCGATGGCCTCCTGCAAGGGCTGCGATTCCCCCGGGTCTGCGATGATGTGGATGCTAACCAGGAAAGGGTCCTGCGCCTCCTCCACGGACAGCTCACCTGGGGGCACCACAAGAAACACAAGCGAACGGTGACCATGTCACTAAAAGGGTCCTGTGATGACACACACCGCGGCGACAGGAAGAGAAGCTAAGGGCTAACTGAACTGCGTCTGTGATCATTAGGATTTTCAGATCCCATGTTCGCCCCCCAAAACCCTGGCCGCCCAAAGACTAGAGAAGTATTTATTTAATACTTCCCGAAGCACCTTCAGCGCCTTACCCCATAAATGATCCCTCTTCCACAGCACTCATTGGATTTGCTTGTTTCAATTGGCTTCTCTTGTTCATTCACCCCACAAACATTTATGGAATCCTTTCTTCACGCCTCACGCCAGGGGCTGTGCCAGGCACTACTTGGCTACACTATCTCAGAGGGTGAACGGTTTGCTGGTCACACTGGCGTATTTCTAATTCAGAAATACTCAGCAGAGTATCTCAGACAACCTGATAAGGTTTTCTTTTAAAAGATGGCTCTGTTTGCATCTTTACAGGCTTTATGACTCATCCAAGGGAAATTAAGAAATCTTTAAGTCTTTGTGACTTGGGGGGTTAGATTCATCTAGAATGTAGATCTGTCATCACACACATGCCTCACAAAGTCCACTAGGGTACCAGGTAGAAGTCAATCATGCAGTCAATAGCGTTTGAAGAAGTGTGATGTGATCTTAGGAATAATAACCTACATCAATTTACAAGATGAGAAGTAATTTTCCTCTAGCTTTGCAAGACATGCCAAATAGGCTTGCAGGTATATTTTATCACATGCATCTGTGATAACATAATTTCTATTTTGTTGGCTCAAAACCTGTCTGAATTTTCAACCCAACTCTGTTAACTTATTTCACTTGGGAATAGTTAATTCAGTTTGTTGTTGCCTTTCTTATTTACTCATTTATTTACACATTTGTTGAGCAATCAGTATGTACCAGGCACTGGAAAAACAAGGAAGCTGATATCATTGAGGATTATGGCAATCTGTTTATGGAGACTCTGGTGTGAATAGCGTGCTCCTCTAGAATTGTGCAGTGTACAACCTGCACACCCACAGCAGTAGCCCTGTGAAGAACCATAAGCCACAAATAACTCTATAAACAGTCATTAAAAAAATTAACATTCAATCTGATACGTGCCTATAGGAAATATAGTAGAGTAGCATTTTAGGTAGGGGTTAGATTCTAAAATTACCCTGTTGTAAAAATTATCTAGAGACAGTATCACCACTGAAAGTCTCTTGAATTTCCAATATAGTACTGAACATCGTACTTGCAGCGAGACAACACAGCCAGATAGGTGTTCCTCTGGCTGTACACCGGATGAAACTGCAGGCTTACTGCATGGCTTATGTTACAGAAGAATAGTCTTGTACCAGTAAGGCCCAGACCACCACTCAGCAGGCTGTGCCTTTCACCCTGCAAGAGACTTCCGAAACATAAGGATGACCAAGGTAACAACAAAGTCAAGTCTCAGTACTTCCATGATCATGGATTAGAATGGTGGGTAACATTGTTCAAGGCCCCTGTGGCTGAGCATGTGGTCTTGAATTTGTACGAGTTAAATATAAGCATGATGTGGGGCGCCTGGGTGGCTCAGTGGGTTAAAGCCTCTGCCTTCGGCTCAGGTCATGATCCCAGGGTCCTGGGATTGAGCCCCGCATCGGGCTCTCTGCTCAGCAGGAAGCCTGCTTTCTCCTCTCTCTCTGCCTGCCTCTCTGCCTACTTGTGATCTCTGTCTGTCAAATAAATAAATAAAATCTAAAAAAAAAAAAATATATATATATATATATAAGCATGATGTAATTCCAATTTACTATCGCAGGGCAAAGGAAGGAGCAATGTTTCCTCCAGAGTGCTTCTGGGGAGGTTTCCTGGAGGAGGCACCATGTGAACTGGGCCTTGAAGGGTAAACAAATCTTGCTCATAATAACCTCAAATGTGGGGGAGATCACTGCAGGAAGAGGGAAGATGGTTAATGAAGGCACAGAACTGTGCAAAAAAACAAGCACATTTGGAAGGGGGTGGTGAGTAATTCTGAAACATGGCAACAGATGCAGTGGGAAAAATGGACTAGTGCCAAGTTATACAGGGCTTCAGCTCAATTTGGTAGTGATAAGGGGCAGTGGAAAGTTTTAATAAAGGGATGTGGGGAGCTAGACAGGCGGAGGCAAAGTAAGAAGTCAGAAGATGAGTAAACAGTCTAGACAGATCACAAGGACTTGGCCCTGGAGGAAACTGCATTATGGGCTCTTGTTCTTTATCTTGCCCTGTCTCCTTGCTCTCTGCCATATTTATAGTTCCTCCCATTAATGGATGAAGTGCATTTCCCCACCCTTGGACTTTGGACACCCTTGATCATATGCCTAACTATGGCCAACAGAAAGACACAGTGGTGATGTGTGTTTGGGCCTGCCTTCTTGTGCTTCTGATGTGTCCATGAGAAGCTAGCCAGAAATCAAGAGGTGCCAGAAGGCAGGAGGAGATCTACATGGATCCCAGCCACCCGAGGTAAGCCCAGCCTGTATCGGCCGATCTCAGACACCCACAGAGACATCATAAATGCTACCTAGCTGTCCCTGGTCTAGATCACCTGGCCCAAGACCTGTGAGAAGTAAGGAATGACTGTTGTTCTATGCCACTGTTTGGGGGTGGTTGTTATACAGCAATACTTACGGGTGCAGGAGGAGTCAGTGAGTATACAGAAGAGGCACAGATTTGCAGGCTATTAAGGAGGCACAGGCCACTGGCCTTGGAGCCCACAGGCTGGGGCGGGGAGCAGGAAAAGGAGAGGAGTGATGTTTCTGGTTGGATCCTGATGCTTAAGGAAGAGATACAAAATAGAGGAAGAAGAACAGATTTGTGGGTAAAGATAAGGGGTTCCACTTTGGCCTCGCCATGTTGGCTTGAGATGGTGGATTGACTTCCAGGAGGGATGTCCTGTTAGCAATGAGACCTGTGCACTGTTGAGCTCATGGGCTGAATTTTAAGGATGGATCAGTTACCTTCAGATTGTATTCTTGCTCTTCTGTGGTTCTCTAATACATGTGTGCCCCCAATGTATACTTATATCCAATATAAATTTGGAATCAGTGGAAATTCATCATGATGGCTTAAAAAACAACCAGAATTCCTAGACTCTTGTGGTCCTTCTCTTTGTTTGCTCTTCTGCTCATCTGACTACATTCTGTTTCGTTGAACATTAGCGCCATTATCAGCAGAAGTGCAGTGGAAAGAAAAACAGTGACAAGGCAAACCAGTGCAATTTTCCACCAGTCAGTAACTCCAGGAAAGGTAGAAGAAAGTACCACAATCAAATAAAAGGCGTATTTCACTTTTTCACGGTGGCCTGATCTCCCAACAGTGGGGACATGTGACATTGCTGAACATTACTGAAAGCTCAGTATAAATGGAAAGAAGTAAAACGGCCTTGAAAGATTTGGAGGATGAGGAAATTTCCTTGAGAAAGTTATGGATGATTTCTGTGAGAGAAAAAAAGGACATACGGAGTTGAAAGAATGTTTAGGAAAAGACATTGTCAGAGCAGCGAGGCAGTCCTGTTAAGACCCTGCACCCGCTCTTCAGGGGGTGTGCGTGGCTGCGAACACAGAGACACGTTAGCTGACCAGTGCATGGTGTTCAATGTGGCCTGGCACTTACTCCATGTTCTGTGTATATGAACTCACTGAATCCTTAGAAAAATCCTAGAAAGGGGACGAGATGCTATTTTTGTTCCCATTTTAGAGAGCAGAAAATTGAGGCACAGAGAGGCGAAGCAATCTGCCACGGTCACACGGCGCGTGTGTGCACGATCACGATGGCTCTGCAGAGACGTGTGCTTACCCTCTCCGCTGTATTCATTTCCCAGCAGAATGAACGGCCGCCCTGCCCCATCATTTCTGGCCATGCTGATATTCCCTCACCCTCCTCTACTGCTTCTCCGCCACCAGCCAATAGCTCCCTGTCTCGGACACCCATTTACAGCTCTTTCGTCTGGCTCTGGGTGTCTGAGGAAGAATAACCCGGAAACCGCCTCCCCACGGCACACGTCCAGCTCCGTCTATCTGAGCATGCTGCCTGCTTGTGCTCGTGCTTGCAGACAAGCGAAAAGGCCTGGGTGGGGAGGGGCCCCTGTGGAGGTAGCTTCTGCGTCACCAAGACGGAGTTGTCAGGGTGCTCCGTGCCAAGACCCCTCTATCAACCACACAAAGGTTTCCCAGAGAGCAGTACAGAGGCTATGCAGAAGCCTATGCGGGTGAGTGAATGTCACCACTTTGCAGAAAGGCAGGATGCCCAGCCTCGGGGCAGGGTGGGGACACAGAGAAAGGCCTCTGACCAAGTGCCTGCTCGCCTGGGCAGCTTGGAATGGAGCCAAGAGAAAGCAAGGAAGGGAGATGAAGACCTGACCCCCGAGCTCTGTTTGCATGCGTGAACCAGGGCATGCATGAACTCAGGTAACTCAGTCCAACCCTGAGAAGGAGGAGGAGAATGGGTGGTGGCGTTAATACACTCTGGCCATCGCCAACATGCGCCCACTGCACAAGGCCCTAAAATAAAGAACCACAGCATGCAGCTCCAAACTGGCACTGGGTGCTGGGGTTATACATGCCCCAAAGAAAATGGGCCTCCTGGAACTACACAGGAAACCAAGTATTTGAGGGAAGGAGAGAAAATGTGAATAATTCATTGTCATGGAAAGCCTCTCCGCCTCCCTGGAGAAGCAGAGACACCGTGACTGTGGGATATGTACTGTCCTTATCATATCCATTACACGTCTTCTCGAAGGACCTCAGAGAGCACCTGTTCACTTGGGGCAAGACACAGACCAAAAACCAACTGGGCAGCAGACAGACTTCCCCAGGGCTGGTTGGGAGAGGGGAGCTGATCACAAATTCACAAGTAGTAACAAAGCTCTCAAGACTACTTTGTGCTGCCTGAGAAGAGAAGGAAGATTCTTTCCCAGGGGATTAGAGACAATTAGATTTTTCCTTTGATAGTATGAAACAAA